TATCTGGATCCAGGAGCTGCAGGAATCTTGAGTCCAGAGGACACGCTCCATTCCCTCTACTCCTGGCTCTTGCTGGTAATGAGATTCCCACTCCCACCCCTGTTTCTCAGAGGGCTGATAACACAGCAGAAGGCCACTCAAATCCTATTTGCAGTTACTCATGAATGAATCCTATCAGTATATCTCCCCCACCACCACCACACACACACACAATATATGCAGGGAAAGTTTGTTTGGTGGTAGAGGCTGGCTAGAAGGGCCCCATTAAATAATTCATTGCCCCTGCAGGTGGGTTAGTCAGGAGTAAAACCCAAGGGTCCTGCTTGGAAGGCAGGATATTTTACCGTGAACTTTCAATGCCTTCCCTCAGTCATACCCGTCAGCACTGTTCCCTTCTCGAGCTCACAGGGAGAAATGGAGAAAAAGTCCAGGTGGTTTCCATTCTCAGGGAAGGCCATGTGGCCCACTGGTTAAGGCTTAGGAATCGTACTTTGGTTCCAATTTGGACTCTGCAGTTTACTCAGTATGTGACCCTGGTTCGTGTTAACCCTCAGCAGTTTCCTCTTGCATACAGTTATGATAACTATGGAAGTTAGTGCCCAGCTCACCATACAAAGCTGCTTCAATCATTGGGGTTTGGGCATGGTTTAATTTGGTTCTTCGCTTTCTCCTGGACCAGCTAACAACAGTTCTGATGGTGTTTTGTTGGAGAATCAGTGCTTTCTAAAAGGATATTGTTAAATATCTTCTGATTATATTTTTACTGCAGTTTTACATGGTGGCTTCGGCTTATAAACATAAATCACCAGTAGCGTGCTTTTTTTTTTTAAACTTAATTTCAAATTTTTTGACATTTTGGGTCTTGGCTACTTATAGAGAGAAGACTGTAAAGTGTTCTTAGTTTTAGGTAGTTTGTAAATGGTATAAAACACAATTTCTAATCTTTACAGCACTTCATATGAATTGTGTATTTTCACTTGAGCTTAGGTTGAACTTCATATGAAGATGCTTTAAGAAGTTAATGGAAAGGAAATTTAAAAGATAATAGACTTTGCCCACAAACTTTCTGAAGCCCCCTTATGAAGCAAAAAATAAGCTTTACATGTTTTTATGTTTATTATCTTTTCCACAAGCTAAGTTCAGAGCTGCACAAAGACTTAAAATCACATTTAGGAGAACCAACCAGCATGATGGTTTACATCTAAATTGTGAGAATGGAACATGGCTGAGAAGTTTTCTGCTGTTGTGCATAGGGTTGCCTGTGAGTCAGAAGCAACTTCAAAGCACCTAACAACAACACAGTGTGCTAAAGTTGTGGAAAGTTTAAAGATATTATAATCTCCTTGTGCTACTTGCCAGAGTTAACTAGTGGCTGCCAAGTATATTGACACTTGGCATTTCTGAACAAAGTCAGCTAAAGTTAGTGAGCAGAGTAACAAAATCATTTTTATTGGAGATACTGCAAAATTTACTGAGATATATACCACACTGTTTAGACCAGGGGTCCTCAAACTTTTAAAATAGGGGGTCAGTTCACTGGCCGGACTATAGTTAAAAAAAAACAAACTATGAACAAATTCCTATGCAGACTGCACATATCTTATTTTGTAGTAAAAAAAATCAAACGGGGCAAAAACACCCAGCGGGCCGGATAAATGTCCTCAGCGGGCCGCAGTTTGAGGATGCCTGGTTTGTACCATATAATCAATCCCTAAACCAAACACACTTGCCACCAAGTCGGTTCCAAGCAATAACTATATAGTGTTTCGAAGATTAAATCTTTATGGGAGCAGACAGCCTCATCTTTTTTCCCAATGAGCAACTGATGGGTTTCATCCGTTGGTTAGCAGACCAAAGCTGAACCCTTAGCACCACAAATTAATGGAATTCATGGAGCTTCCACAAATTAATGGAATTTTCCCATTTTCCAATTCCGTTTTCCACGAACATCTTGAAGCCCCTTTTTATTTCTTTACCTGGCTTTTCAAACCTGGGTAGATACTCCACTTAATTTGGGAGTTGGTGCACGTTTGCTAATTCGGGAAAACAAGGCCTGGCAAACCTTTCTCTGTGTGGAAGAAGCTGAAGATCAGGATGACAGTCTTCTGTGCTGAGGAGCCTTTCTAGCTTCTCATTTGTTTTGTTTTTGAAAAACATTGGAAAAGCCTCAAAGGATTTTTAGTAGAGATTAGGATTTTATAGGCTTCCATTGTTACAAAATTTGTAATTTATTTACCTGGATTGTTATCCATACAATTCTTTTTTTAAAAATACTTTTATTGGGGGCTCTTACATCTTTTATCACAATCCATACATTCATCCATTGTGTCAAGCACATTTGGACATATGCTGCCATCATCATTTTCAAAGCATTTTCTTTCTACTTGAGCCCTTGGTATCAGCTTCTCCCTCCCTCCCTCACCTGCCCTCCCTCATGAAACCTTGATAAGTTATAGATTATTATTTTCATATCTTACATCGTCTTCCATACAATTCTGAGTTCTAGGTGTAGATTTTTGAAAGTTGTGATAGTCTAAAAATCTTAAATAAACAATACTAAAATTGACTCTCTTTGCCAGGATTAATTACAGGCTACGTCTTTCTTAAAAAAAAAAAAAAAAAAAGGAATCCCAAAAGGACTGTGACAGTTTAGTTCAGAGCTGATGTTCTAAATGAGTTGTACATTCCTTTATCTGTGGCACAGTGGGTAAAAGCTGTGTGCTGCTACTGGAAAGGCCGGTGGTTTAGAGCCTGCCAGCTTTCATGACGATTATAGCCCTGGAAGTCCTCCGGAGCAGTTCTGTTTTGGCCCTGTAGGGTCACCATGAGTCAGAATGAGCTCCATGGCATTGTTGGTTCCTAAAATCTGTTTTATATAAATCTTATGTTGTCCAGACAGCCCTCATTAAAGAAAATAAATACAATGACCTAAGCAACAGAAATAGATAAAAAGTCATAGTAGGGTGTAGGAGAGAGTGATTTAAAATCAAGTTAAAACCCTACTCAAATTATACCTCCTCCTCAACAGGCCTCTCACCTGAGAATTACTGCCTTATATTATTAACTAACAGGAGGGGTAGTTAAATGTCTCCGTTGGGCCAATAAGGAGAATGCAGAAGTATACCCTGTATGTTGTAGGCTGGTGAATATGATGACAATTTTTTAAAAAGATTTCATTTTTCATTTGAGATCTATACTTCTCCCCGCCTTCCGGCACCGTTTTTCCTCTTCTAAGGTCTTCTATTTGGGCTGATCACACACATTTTTTTCTACTTTACGTTTTAGGGTAAATGTATTTAAGTACAGATGCATATGCAATGATGTGAAACCCTTATTGAGTTGATTGATTTTGTTGCATTGGCAGAGTGAAGATAGCCCGAGTCCCAAGAGACAGCGTCTCTCTCATTCAGTCTTTGACTATACATCAGCATCACCAGCTCCATCACCACCAATGCGACCATGGGAGATGACATCAAATAGGCAGCCCCCTTCAGTTCGACCAAGCCAACATCACTTCTCAGGGGAACGATGCAACACACCTGCACGCAACAGAAGAAGGTTAGTTGGTTACAGCTTACATTTCCTTCCCTTGTAGGCTTGTGAGGTTTTAGCATTAGAATGTTTTTATCTGTGGGTATTTTATGTACACATACAAGGAAGTTTCAAAAAGTTCATGGGAGAATACCATTATCTTTTCATTCTATTTTTCCATGAAATACATATACACATAGGATAGCTCACTGCAGGGTGTTTATTTAGGCTCTGACACTAAATCACAAAGGTTCCTTTAACTTGTGATTGACAGGTATAGAAATTGAAATAGACTAAAGGAATTTATCCAAAGCCAATCCAACCCACAGGAATTCTGCTATAGCCAGTCTCTGAGTTATAACAAGATCCCTTCTAACTTTAAATCATTAAGTTGAAATTTGTAAGTGAATCAGAATAGGTACATGAAGTCCTTATTTTATTTACCCTTACTTTAGTGCAAGAATGGAGCTCTAGTGGTGCTGTCTTATAGCTGCCACTAGCTGCACGATCAGTGATTGAAACCCACTAGCCTCTAAGTGGGAGAAAGATGAGGCTGTCTGCTCCTTGGAACCCCTATGCAGGTCACTGGAGCTTGACTAGACTAGATGGCAATGGGTTGGATTAGTGCAACCAAAAAAAAGGCTGGGAGAGTGTGATCTTAAATTGTATCCTTAAACAGAGGGAGTAGACCTTGGTGGAAAATCTGGTGAAGTTAAAAAAAACAATTCTGTAGTTTAGTGTTCTACCTCAAGATTATTAATTTTAGTGGTTCTATAATTAACGGAAGGTATTAGCATGAAGGAAGGCGAGGTGGGGTATGTAGAGATTCTTTTTACTATGATTATCTCAAAATAAAAAAATGGAAAGGGGCTGACCTTAAGGGAGGTAGCATTTTAAATTCAATGAAATACAATATATATATTTTGAAGAGAAAATACAGAGAGGAACATTAAAATGTCAAAGATATAGGAAGCCATTCATAAAAGAACCTGGAGGGAGTATCAAGTTCACTGTGGAGAAGTTTGTCTTCCAAAGAAATGTTCTCGTAGGAGTAGAGAGTTAGGGATGAGAGAGGAGAGCAAACCTGATCTCAGTGAAAGAAGTTATGAGTGATCATGTGCTGCTGAGGGACATGTTTGACCTTCTGTTTAAATAAAGATTTAAGGTGGCTTAGTACTTTTTAGAAGCACCCTGATGGTGCAGCGATTGAAGCAGGCTGACATGTCAAACCTACCAGACTCTCTACAAGAGGAAGATGCGAGCTTTTTAAAAGATTCTCTAGCCATGGCACCCAACGAAAAGTTTAGAAAATACAGGAAAGAAGGGGGAATGGAAATGGGAAACAATGAGGGAGCGAGATAAGTGGTGTCACTTCCAGGGGTTATAATCACTGCCATGAAACACATTAGTATGAACTGTTAACTGGAATAACTGATCTGCTCTACAAATCCTTACCCAATCTACCAAAAAAGTAAAAACAAAAACCATAGGCTTTAGGAACCCCTTGGGGCCAGTTACCCTTTGTCCTCCAGGTGTACTATGAGTTGGCATCAGTTTGACAGTATTGGGCTTGGTTTGGTTTTTGTTACTACTTGTTAGCATTGCATTTGTGTAAGCTGATGAGAAAAGCCATGAAAATGAATTGTGGAAGTGTAAAGCAATAGAAAATAAAGCACAATAACAGTATTCTAAAAATTTTACTAAATTTAGATGGTTAATATTTGGGAGAAGAAAAGTGGTTTGCTTGGTAACCAAATTCCAATGGGAAAGTCTGGTTTTCAGAACATTTATTACGTTGACACATGTCAGACCATTTTCATTTAGCATTGACTCATTTCTTAACATTTGTAGTTGTCCATGAATTTTGTCTATGCTATGTCATATATGTTCTAGTGTCAGTTTAGAGCATCATTTTTGACATCCAGCAACTATAGGTTCCTGTAGGTTTTAGGCAAATGGACAAACAAAAGGGGCCCATTATGTGTACGATAGATTCGGACAATAGAACTAGCTATAGGTTTATAAACTTTCATTACAATATTTATAAGATTTAACCAAAAGAGCTTGGCCCAGAAGAATATGCTGATATTTGACTATAAAAAGGACTACTTACAATTGTAAGCTTTTAGAGCTGATAGTAGACTATAGCAGCCAAGTAGTACTCACGTTTACATTAGCATATATGGATTGAGAACAAAGAGAGACAGCTCAAGAAACAGTGTTTCAACCTTCTCTGTGACATTTGCTATATTGCAGTCCTCCTGTCAGGCGCCAGAGAGGAAGAAGGGATCGTCTGTCTCGACATAATTCCATTAGTCAAGATGAAAACTATCACCATCTTCCATATGCACAGCAGCAAGCAATAGAGGAACCTCGAGCCTTCCACCCTCCGAATGTATCCCCCCGCCTGTTACACCCTGCTGCTCATCCGCCACAGCAGAATGCAGTAATGGTTGACATACACGATCAGGTAGAGTAACAGCATGTTCTAGAAATAGAGGAGATGCTAGTAGTTGGTGGTCATTTATTGAAATGTTTTGTGTTTGTTGCATATTTTTTAAGTGTACAATTCAGTAACATTAATGTGAGCTGCTCCACAGATGGTCTCTTGTTTTCTTGAAGGACGACAGATTGTTGCTTTTGCCTGCCTATAGAATTCCAAGGGGCAGACACTGCTTTCCTTTCACTCTTTCTCTGTCTTCTTTAGCCTAAATTTATGGGGTTTTTTGCTGTGGTGCTTAGTTAGATCCATCCGTCACAGTCTTAATCTGTTTTTAAAAGTTGTGCAGCTAATTTCATGGACATACATATTCTCCGACATGGGCCCATCCGTAGTTTGCACCACAGAATTTTAAAATCTTGGCTATTCTGTTTTCATTTTGCTCAGTTCATTTTTCACTCCCTAATTCTTACCACACATTGCTATAAGCACCAAGAAAAACCCATGCTTAGGAATCTTCCTAGATCATTAAAAAGGTCAGCCTTGCACCAGATATTGGAATATAATTGAGAAAAGTTCTTCCCCCATGTTGAATCACCATGTTCACCATTTTTTTTGAAAGCTTCCCAGAAGCGTAGTTCATATCCACGTTTCTAGCAACGTTCTGCTGCTCGTGTCACATGTGCGGAGAGGCCTTCAACAAGTTAGCCCCCCTCCCTCTTATTATTTAAGATAGTGTTTTCTCTATCACTCTCCTCACATCTGAGCCCTCACTAGGATTGCCTCTCTTTTAGTAATCCCAACAGCAATAGCTTCCAGATTATCTACATTTTTGCTGTTAAGACCTTGAAATTCTTTAGCCTTTACACACTACCCAATTCTAAAGCAACTTCAACATTGTAGGTATTTGCTAGAGCAGCACCTGATTCTCAGCACCACATTCTATCTTAGTTATATAATGCTTCTAGAAAAAGCAGAAATGAAACCCTGGTGGCTTAGTGGTTGAGCGTTGGGCTAAGTCCTTCTAGGTTCTTCAAGGTTTAGAGTTTGAAACCACCAGCCGCTCCTAGGTAGCAAGACAAGGTTTTCTACTCTCATTCACAGTGACAGGTTTAGAAACTCACCAGAGCGCAATTCTATAGGGTTACTCTGAGTCCACATCGACTTGTGGACAGCAAGTGTATTTTTACTTTTAAAGCAGAAATACCACAAGTGAGTGGCTTTAACAAAGAAATTGATTTTCTCACCATTTCAGAAGTTGGAAGTGCAAGTTCAGGGGCAGACTTATCTTGGTCCCTCTGTAGAAGGCCCTGGTCTCTTCAGCTGCTTCTCTCTGCTTCCTTGGATCTCCATGTATTTCGGCATCCAGCTCACCCCATCTCTGCTGCTTTAACTAGCTTGTTTAGTATCTGTTAAACAGATAGGTGTTATAATGTCTGTTTGGGCAGTGTCCACGGTCTCCTAGAATGTATGCTCTTTTTTTTTTATTTTAAAAGAATAGCTTTTCTTCTGTTTATTATTTCCCCAAACCCAGACTGTAACAGCACTGAACGATGAGTGAAATACAGGCAGATGAGGCAGCATTCATGTCTGGGCACAGGCTCTTAAGGCTTTATCCAGCAGGTGGGTGGGTGGAACCTCCAGCAGCGTAGGGTACACGCTGCTTACTCTTGTCCAGCCACCAACCTGTTCCTCCACCATATTGTACAATAACCCCCTATTTCTGAAAGTTTCAAGCCATTAAGGAATAACTTCCTAAACTCTTCTTCTTCCATTCGTAACTGCTAATGTGCTTTATGCCTCAGTCATTTGCCTATTCAGGGTATTTTTCATTCTTTTTTTTAAACAGTTTCATTGGCACATAACTTACATATCATACAATTCAATAGTTCAATCATATCAAGGAGAATTGCGCAATCTTTACCATGTCCATTTTAAAATATCCCTCCCTGCAATGGTTAAATTGCCCCCCAAATGGGTTACATAGTCACAGTCAGTTCCAGTGCTCCCCCCTCCCTTCTGCCTTGGTGTTTTAGTCCTGGTGCTAATTTTTAGTCATTACTATTTTGTGAAAGCAGCTGGAATTAATGCTGCTCTTTCTTTCCTCGTAGCTCCATCAGGGTACAGTCCCTGTGTCCTACACAGTAACAACAGTGGCACCACATGGGATCCCCCTCTGCACAGGCCAGCACATCCCTGCTTGCAGTGCACAACAGGTCCCAGGATGCTCTGTGGTTTTCAGTGGACAGCACCTTCCTGTCTGTAGTGTGCCTCCTCCTGTAAGTGCTTTTTTGTTTTCATATCATTAATATCATATCTGGGTTTGTTTTTCCATTTGAATCTCAGATCCGTAGTAGAGTGGCTCTGCTTTATATAAACAAATAACATTTCTTAGGAGATGCTTTTGTAGCATCACATTCAAATTTTTTAAAAAAAGCCATTCTATTGCAGCCCACATTTGGGGGGTGGGATGCGGTTCTCAATCCATGACATTGTCCTCATAATCATCAGTGTGTTCGAGTCCATCATTGCCGCTCCTTTGCCGGCTCCTTTCACTGAGGGCTCCGACACCCTTGTTGACCCATAATTTCATCACGTATAATAGCCTCCTAGCAGTAGGTCTTTTCTAATTTGTCTGAAGCAAGCAAGTCAGACCTTGTTTTGTGTTACTGGCTTATTTTCAGTAGTAGAGCACAGGCCATACAGGCCACCACATCATGACAAACAGACAGGCGGAACTGCTAGTTACTAAAGCTTTCTTTATAGATGTAAAAATATGCTAATGTTTTATTGTTAGTATAAGTTATTAGAATGTCTTGGTATTTTGGGGAAGGTACAACGATGGCAGGTTTCAATCCCACTGTCTTTTTTTTAAAAAAATCATATGTTCTGATAATTTTTTAACAAAAATAAATGTTTCTCTTACAGATGCTTCAGGCATGTTCAGTTCAGCACTTACCAGTACCATATGCTGCGTTCCCACCCCTTATTTCTAGCGACCCGTTTCTTTTACACCCTCCTCACCTCTCTGCACACCATCCTCCTCATTTGCCGCCACCAGGCCAGTTTGTCCCTTTCCAAGCCCAGCAGTCTCGATCGGTAGGTATCTTCATTTTTGTCTTACTTTAATTTTCTGAGAATGTTTAGACCCAAAAGGCAGATTAATCTAGCAAGTATGCATTATTACTATTTAAACACTAACTTTGAGTTCTTAAAATAATTAAGGAAGTCAAAGACATCAATAGGCATATTTACTTAGAATTAGCTTAGATTTAAACATTTTTCTAGTTATTTTACTTGAATAGCTGTCTAAATTTGTTTTGTTTCATGCTTAAAATCTTAGAAAAGGAAAGAAGTTGAAATAAATTTTTATTTAGTTATACCGTTTTTTTCCTTTTATGTAGTTCTAAATCAGAAAAGGGGAAACATGATTAAGTTGTTAATATTTACACACACCCATACCCATCTGTGTACTGAGTATCATAATTCTACGTTTAGGCCTTCTCATTGTTTTCATAATTTGTCGTTTCTGAATGTTGACTAGGCTTGATGACCAGGTGAGATAGTCTACTGACCTGTTGTTGGGTTGGACTGTAGCTGAGAGGCATATGACTATGGGCTGGGGTCTAAGTGGAAGAAACAGTACAGGAAGAATCCAGGTGGTTAACCTCCAAGCCAACAGGCATTAAGAGGGACCAGAAAGAAATAGCATAGCAGTTGTTAGAGTAGAAGGTTGCATCCCTACACTGGTTGTAGGCAGGCTTAACTCACTTGTATTCAAGATTCACATGCCATGCAGAGTACCAGAGGAAGTGAGCTTACCTGAGGGAGGACACCAGAATGACATGTAAGAACATTTGTTTTCAAGAGAATTAAAAACATGTCTGTACAAAGATGTCTACACGTGGGTAAGCTTGAAACATCATCTAAGAAGTCAAAAAAGGCCACATATAAATGATTGACCTCATTTTTATGTTCTAAGTAGGGAAATCTGTAGAAACAGAAGTAGGTTTGTGCTTATCTATTGCTGAGGAGGCTGTTGGAAGGAAATGGGAGTAACCGCTCATGGACATAGGGCTTCATCTTGGGGTGATGACAGTGTTGGTACTGGTTGTGCAATTCTGTGATTATACTAACAGCTGTTGAATCATACCCATTAAAAGGGTGAACCTCTTAGTATGTGAGTTAGATCTACTGTTTAAAGAATACATGTTATATGCTTTGCATAGCACCATGTACTTTCTAAGTGCATTGTATTGATAGTCATAACATGTTTTTAAGCAGCATGAATATAAAAGTCATTGTAACTTGCATATAATTGATTTTCAAGTTCAAATAGTAAAAGAAATACCTCCTTTAGTGAATAGCAGGAATACTAAATAACACAGTTTAGAAATGTTCTTATTGAAATTGGATGAAAGATAGGAAGATTTTACTATAGTATACCCACTGTATGATCTTAAGTAAATATGCATGCTAAAGAAATAGATGGTCTTGAAGATATTTTGAAATGTTTCAAGGTTTTGTTCAATTCTTATAAACACTTAGACCTATGTCAATTTACTGTGTTTTTTCCCCTCTCAGCCTCTACAAAGGATAGAAAATGAAGTAGAACTACTAGGGGAACATCTTTCAGTAGGAAGTTTTACTTACCCGCCATCCGCCCACCCCCCGACATTACCTCCTTCAGCTCCTTTGCAGTTCTTAACGCATGATCCTCTGCACCAGGAGGTGTCCTTTGGAGTAGTAAGTTTTGGGTGCTTTGTTTTATTGCTTTAATAACAATTATTTTGAGTCATTTCATATAAACTCCTGCCATGTTTAGAATTTAGAAATCTGAAGGGGCTTTCAAAAGTTGTAGAAAAATGCCATTATATTTTAATTCTACCTTTCCATCAACTTTTTGAAGCTCCTTTGTAAAACTACACTAGAAGAGGCCTCGTGGAACTGTTGGACTACTAACTGCAAGGTTGAGGGTTTAGACCCACAAGCCACTCCAAGGATGAAAAAGGTGGCTGCCTGCTCCAAGTAAAGATTTAGAACTTTGGAAATACCATATAGAGTTGGGGTTGCTATCAGTCAGAATCAGCTATCTAAAGTGTGTGTTGGCAGCTATACTCATAAGAAATATTAAATAGCACTTAAATAGTTAACAGATTTCTAGGTTTTTAAACAGCAAGAAACTTTATTGGACAAGTTAATTAACTGTAAAGATACAATGACCCTAAATCATTTTACCATTTCCCCCCTATAGCCTTATCCTCCATTTATGCCCCGGAGGCTTACAGGACGTAGTAGATACAGATCACAGCAGCCGATACCACCTCCTCCTTATCATCCCAGCCTACTACCATATGTGCTGTAAGTTCTTCCTTGTTTTAATATGTTCTCTTTGTGTGTGTGTGTGTGTGTGTGTGTGTGTGTGTGTGTGTGTGTGTGCACGCTCATTTTTTAACACCCAAGGTTCTCTTTCATTTTATGTCTATAACTCAGGGTGTTTTAGAGGTTTTGTTTTCTCTTATGTTAGAGGGTTAGGGTTGGGGAGCCAGTTAAGGATGAAAGAAAGGAAAGAGTAAAGACATTGGGGGGTATGGGGATGGAAGAAATTTGTGAGCCAGAAAATAGGTTTAACAAATCAAGAGGGGGGGGAGATATGATTAAGATTTTTGCCCCTTTTACAACTGGTATAGTTTGAGGCCCCTTTGGTTACTTAGCTTCGAGGTCCTTGTTCTATTCTTAGAACTGCCCTGTTAGGATGAAGTTGGTCTGCACCATGACGGTTCTTTAGTTCTCTCATGTAAAAGCCTTCCTGAAGAAGACAGTCCAGAGGGACTTCATTAGTCCCGTGACTATACGTAATGTTGTCCTACCATTTTCAAATTTTACAGCTTCTGCACAATCCAAGGTGGATTCTCTGACTGGACATCCTCTTTCCAAGAATTATTTCACAGATGGTTCCCACTTCTATCATATTGGCCAGAACTTAGTCACACTACTTGTTAGGAGGGTTAGTGGATGTAATCCTCATATGCCAGAGGGCTTATATCACACTTTGTGTTGATGATTGTAATTTTATTGTAACCATTAACATCAGAGTGTACATTCTGCCACTTTGTTCTTAAAATGTCTTGCTGCCATTTTGCCTCGGAGAGAGAGAGCCTGGAAACAAGATGGGTCACCAGCAGCTCTACTGGAGCCACCCGCGAAAATTCGGCCAGGACTCCCGTTCTTGCCGTGTGCTCAAACCGGCACGGTCTGATCCGGAAATACGGCCTCAATATGTGCCGTCAGTGTTTCTGTCAGTACGCGAAGGACATCAGCTTTATCAAGCTGGACTAAGTTATCTTTGGATGGACAATCCAAGACCGCTACCCAAAAGAAGAAACAGTGCCAACTATTTGTACATAAAATAAAAAAAATTCAAGCCTGAAAAAAAAAAAAAAAAAAATGTTTTGCTGCTTGCTGTAATGCATAAAGTCTTGTTCTCATGTTGCCTGTTTTCCTTGCAGATCAATGCTTCCGGTGCCACCTGCAGTGGGACCAACATTTAGCTTCGAATTGGATGTGGAAGATGGAGAAGTAGAAAATTATGAGGTTAGTAGATAAACTGAGTATTAATTTTGGGAGTATTGTGTGCAGAAAAATATCGTCCTATTCAATTGATTGACCTAATCAAACATAAGTAAGTGTTTTACACATTTTAAGATACAACCGTGCCATTTAAGTCAGTGGTTCGCAACCTTCTTAATGCCCCACCCCTTTGATATAGTTCGTGTTGTGGTGACCCACCCACCCTCAACCATAAAATTATTTTCATTGCTACTTCATAACTGTAATTCTGCTACTGTTAAGAGTTGCTTGACCCCCAAAGGAGTCGTGACCCACAGGTTGAGAACCACTGATTTAAGTGCTTGGCATCTTTAAGGATGGGCATGTACCATGCAGCCCAGATAACAAGGTAGGCTTTGTTGCCTTTATTGGTGCATACAAGTCCTGTGAGAGACTGCAGATAAGAAAAACGGTAAGTTATGATTGCCCGTTCTAAAAAGACTTGGTGGAAACAGATGTGCTGGGGCTGTATCTTGAAGATTGGGGAGGCTTTGTTATGTATAGATCGAGTCAGGGAAGTGCTGGGCATCATTGAGGAGTCGTGTGTATAGCACAGCCTTGGTGAAAAGGGAAAAAGGAAAAATGGAGATTTGATTGAAAATTTGTTTCCTTCCATTTTGAATGTCAGAGGAAAGAGCCACTACTAGTAGTAAGTTAAAGGAATAGGTGGTAGTGGTTAGGAGCTGGTGACAAATCAACCTCTGATTGTGTTAATAGGCCAGGCAGTAAGTTTTTAAACTCTGCAAGCTCTGAACTATGTAACTTGCAAAGAGAAAAGAAAATATAGCTTTGAAAGACATTAATATCAATCATTTTGATCATTGCTTTGTGATGATTTTGGGGGGGTGGGGGGTGAGTTCAGGGTGGAGGGATTGCAAAAGAAGATGTTCTGCAAAACAGGAATGTAGGAAGGCATGCAGGAGGCTGACCCAAAGGCAGCTGGGGGCTCTCGTCTAGATCATGCTGACATGCCTCTATTATTTGAGCTTAGGGACACAGAGAGTGTGATTTGGGGACTGGAAAGGCAAGTTAGGATTTGGATATGTTGAATATAAGTGTGGCTATGTGGCTTGACATACACTACCAGCCATCTTCCTCACCCCAGTCTCATTCCATCTCAAATTTTCACAATATGAATATTTTCATAGTATAGGACAATTCTCTGGGTGGGTTTAACCTAAGGATTAATAGGATTTTATACATAAACATCTAAATCACCATTGGGTGGTTGTTTTTTTTAATGCTTGTGAAAGAGAGCTAGCCAAATGCCCTATCTTTCTAAAGCTCTTCCAAATGCTGTTATGTCGCTTTTAGTACAGTGGTTCTCAACCGGGGCACAGAAGTCCATGCCAATGCCCCACCCCCATCCTGGCAGGTGTTTAGCAATATCTGGACACATTTGTTAGCACCTGAATCTAGTAAATAGAGGGTGTATGTTTGTGTGTGTGTTTTCATACTTTGTTTCCTGTCATTGATGGCATTCTGCACATCTATAACATTATTTATCTCATTTCTTCCCTGTTTCTCATTTCTATTAGTCTTTCATTCTTTACCCTTCTGAACTTTGCCCACGGGTAAATGCCACTTTTTTTATCTCAAACGGTTGATAATTCTAAGGTGCGTATAAACACACCCAGTTTTGTTCTCCTTATAGACTTGCCTATTATTGTTTGTCTGAAAATTGAGCCATGGGGATGAGTTCATTCCCAGACCTGAAGGTGAGTAAGGGCCCTATTCTCCAGTGCGTTATTAGTCTCTATGCAACCAGGAATCCTGGTCTTTTTTATGATTTTGGATTTTGTTCCACAGTTTTCTCCACTCTATCCATGACCTTCTAATGTAATCTCTTTCAGAGCAGTTGGTCATGGTAGCCAACCACCATCTAGTTCTTCTCATCTCTGGAGGCTGATGTCCTTGTGATTCTTTAGTCTATTGGACAGACTGTTTCCAAGGTTCTTCAATTTTCTTCACTCTTTGTGAAGAAGAATGACTAATGGTTGCTCCTGAGATGACCACTCACAAGCTTGTAAGCCTGTAGTCACTATGCACCAAAGTAGAATATGGGATACTGTTATCCTAATTGACTTGGGTGTCCCCTGAGGCTATGCTACTGATTCCCCACGCCAAGCAATTCATTCATTTCCTGAAGGTGTTTGGTTATGTCTAAGACATTTTTATAACTTTGCTCCCTGTGTACAACATCACATTTATGGATGCGTTTGCATCCTGGGTAAGTACACACGTAGAATTACATGCTCTCAAGTCTTTGGGGGAGGATTCAAAAAGCTAGTGGGGAAATAGCATTAAAAGGTCATGGCATTTCTCCATGAGATTTTTGAAGCCTCTTGTGTTTGTTGGCATAGTCCTACTCTCTTTCCCACACTCATTCAGTCTGTGCGTGCGTGTGCACACATCCAATTGTAGATTACTGCAGAATTGTGTATAGCACTATTTTCCTCCATTGTCTTTGAACGCTTCACTCCAGCCAGTGTCTTTCCTTGCCTCTACCACTTTTTGCTGACCTCCCTCTTACTATATATTGAGTCTAGGATCTTGCTAAACATCCTACAGTGCTTAGAGCTGGGTCCTATCCCTTCCTGCCCTCCTCACAAGCCACATGTCTAATACTGAGATAGTTAAGCCCTGTGTTAAAGATACACAGAGAACTATTTTACCAATGAAAATACCATGTCATAGTTCAGATAATCTGGGATTTAGTGTGTGGACTGTAATAAGTGAGAGAGTAGCCATGAATGTGTTCACTATATTATTTCTATATTTATTTATATATTATTTAAATTTTCCTATAGTAAGGAGTTGGTGGTGGTTGTTTTAATGAATAGAAGAGGTTTTTTGTTTTTTTGGTTTTTTTTTTTTAACATTAAGATGGAAGTAGAAAGGGAGAACCGATTACAAGGATCTATATATAACCTCCTCCCTGGGGGACGAACAACAGAAAAGTGAGTGAAGGGAGATGTCGGACAGTTTAAGAAAGGATCAAGTAATAATAATTTATAAATTATCAAGGGTTCATGAGGGAAGGGGGAAAGCGGGGTGGGGGTGGGGGTAGATGAGCTGATACCAAGGGCTTAAGTAGAAAGCAAATGTTTTGAGAATGATGAGGGCAACAAATGTACAAATGTGCTTGACATGGATGGATGGATTGTGATAAGACTTGTATGAGCCCCCAGTAAAAAATTATTAAAAAACCGAAAGCATTAAGATGTTGACTTTTCCTTCTGCAGGCACTGCTAAACCTTGCAGAGCGACTGGGAGAGGCTAAGCCTCGAGGACTTACTAAAGCAGATATTGAACAACTGCCTTCTTACCGGTTCAATCCTAACAACCACCAGTCAGAACAGACTTTGTGAGTATATTGTTGTAGCATCACGTTATATTGCACATCCTTTTTTACCTTACAAAATGAAAGCTGGAGAGTCAAAGATAACTGGATAAAAATAACATCTTTATTTCATACTCAACACCTCTGCTGTCCAACAACGACGCTACTATTCACAAGTGGCTATTTAAGGTTAATTAAGAACGAAGTTTCTTAGTTGCACTAATAGCTACCACATTGGAAAGTGTGGATGGTAAAACATTCTATTACCTTAAAGTTCTACTGGCAGTTCTGAATTTTTAAGTTATCTAGGTATTTCATGGCTTCAAATTTAAGTCCCATTGCCATGTAAAGTTTGGTGGTTTTACGTGATTTTGCTTCTTACCATAATTTCATGAACAACAGCTTAAAAATATACAATCCAGTACCTTGAGCTGTGCGACTATCTCCATAATCAAAATTAAAACGTTCATTCCCCCAAAAGAAACCCTACAACCAGCAAGCGCTCTCCATATCTACCAGCCTAGGCAGCTACACATCTACCTTTTTAGTCTCTAGTTGTTCCTATTCTGAACATTTCATATAAATCAATTCATACCATAGACGTTCTTTTGGGGTTGACTTCTTGCGCATGTTTACAAGGTTTGTGTTGTAGCATGTATTAGTGTTTCATTTCTTCATTACTAAACAGACCCCATTTGAGTATTCGTTCATCTGCTGATAGAATATGGAATTTGCTTCCACCTTTGGGTTGGGCTCCAATGACCATGCATTTACACATTGATGTTTGAAAGCCTGTTTTCAGTTCTGTGGAGCGTCTACCCAGGAATGGAATTAGGAGGTCCTGTAGTAATTCTTTGTTTTAACTTGGGCCCGCCAGACTGTTTTCCATTACATGGCACCATTTTACATATGAGACTGCCAGTTTTGCCTCATCCTCACCAACATTGCTGTTTTCCTATTTGTTTGTTTGTTTGTTTTTAATCAAAGCCGTCATAGTGGATGTGAAGTAGTAGCTCGTTGTGGTTTTGATTGGCATCCCTTATGGCTAATTATTTTGAGCATCTTTTCATGTGCTTGTTGGCCATTTGTTTATCTTTGGAGAAATGCCTTCAGAACCTTTGTCCCATTTTCAATGTATTGTTCACTATTACACTCTAATCATCCTTTGTGGTTTAGATGTACGTCCCTTATCAGAAAGATAAGTTTCTTGAAGTTTCCCAGTTGGTTGAGTTGTCCTTTCAATTTCTTGATGGTGTCTTTTGAGGGCAGTATGCTTGAAATTGCATTAAAGGTTTTGTGTGTGTGTGCTTTTGGTGCTATATCTAAGACATCATTGTCTAATCCAAGTTCATAAAGTTTTATATCAATATTTTCTTCTAAGCATTTCGTCGTTTAGCTCTTAACATTTCAGCTTTAATCCATTTGTAGTTAGCTTTTTATGTGATGTTAGGGAAACATTTAACTTCATTCTTTTGTGTGAATATCCAATGGTTCCACCACCATGTATTGAATGTGTTAATATGTTAAGACTGACATGAGTCAGGAGGGTGGAGGGAGGGTTGGGTGGAAAGGGGAAACCAATTACAAGGACCTACCTATAACCTCCTCCCTGGGGGACAGACAACAGAAAAGTGGGTGAAGGGGACGTCGGACAGTGTAAGACATGACAAAATAATTTATAAATTATCAAGTGTTCATGAGGGAGGGGACAAACGAGGAGCTGATGCCAGGGGCTTAAGTGGAGAGCAAATGTTTTGAGAATGAGGGCAATGAATGTACAAATGTGCTTTACACAATTGATGTATGTATGGATTGTGACGAGTTGTATGTGCGCCTAATAAAATGATTTAAAATAATAATAAAAATATATTAAAAGACTGGCATGTATATTAAACTAAAACATTAAAAAAATATTGTATATACTTGCGCGTATAAGCCGACCCAAATATAAGCCGAGATGCCTAATTTTACCACAAATCTGCATTAAAAAGATGCTGAAATACTCAGCGTATACATGAGTATGTGCGTTAATCTTTCAATAAAGCAATGCATTGTTGTAGTTAGTGAATGCCTTAAAATTAACCTCCCCCCACCCCACCCCGGTCTTTTAAGATGTGCAATAAGTGATTTTGCAAGCTTTTTAGTAGTTGTAACTAAATAGAAAACAAATCAAGTCTTACAGTTAAATGATCTTTTTGCTTTTTTTAGGTGTGTAGTGTGCATGTGTGATTTTGAGTCAAGGCAGCTACTTAGAGTCTTACCCTGTAACCACGAGTTCCATGCCAAGTGTGTCGACAAATGGCTTAAGGTAAAGTGGTGGCACGTGTGCAGGAAATTGCATTGTTTTTGTTTGTTTACTCCCCCCCCCCTTCATTACACTGACTGTAGATTGTAGAGTACAGTTATCAAGAAAGCTTGGCAGTTAATGTATCCTAACTTTCTCAAGTTATACTGGGGTGTGTTGACCTGGGTTGACTAGAGAAACAAATTCATAGACACTCATGTGTATACGAAAGAGCTTTATATAAGGTGTAATTGTACATTAAGAAAACAGCCCAGTTCAGATCAAGTCCATTAGTCTGATATTAACCCATATATGTCTGATACCAATCTGTAAAGTCCTCTTCACACTCATGTAGCACATGCAATGACACCGAATGCAGGAAGATCACAGGCCAGAGGGTGGGAAGTCTTGTCGGTCCAGTCGTGTGTTGTAAGCTTCTCAGCACTGGCAGGGGTCTCCACGTGGCTCCTTCAACTCAGGGCACTAGCGTAGTTCCATGTGTCTTATCAGCTGTAATGTCTCCCAGGGAGTGAGCAGAGAGCATGTCTCCTGCTTCCAAGGAGGAATACCGGAGTTCCCAGCATACTTGGGAGAAGGCCAGGCCCACACAGAGATCACATTGGCTATGACCTGATTGACAGGCTAGACTCCTCAAATTGAGAAACGATTATATAACTACCACATGGGACAAGGGCTGAAACTTGTTAGGCAGCTTCCTTAAGAATCTAGAACTCAAAAAAAAAAAGAATTTAGAACTCTAGCTCCTTGGTTAGAGGTTTACATGGTGAACAAACTTTTAATGCTTTTTTAATTTTGTAATATCACATATTGTCAATTTGTGATAAGAAAAAGCCCCCAAAAGACACACATTGTAACTGGTGATGCCATGGTGGAATATTACAGGTGTGGCTGCTTTTGTTTCTTTTTTGTTCCTCATACTCTGATAGTCCTACATTATAATAGTAAAATAAAAATGATACAGTGAAAGAATTTAACAGCCAATCTTTAAAGAAGAATGTTTATATTTTATGTGATCCGTTGAAACAATGGTATAAGAACTAAAATAGGATTTCTGTGAGGATATGAACTTCCTCATTGTTGCATTACCTCAACTTCAAGTGTTTGCATCAACCTAAAGTGCTACAGGTTGATTAGGCATTATCATTATCCCTGTCTCACTCATAGGCACTGTTTCTGGATCCCTGCCTTATGTCTCATGATAATTTACAGGCCCCTTGAAAGCAGTTTAGGTTCTTATTCAGTGGTTTTCTACGCAGGTTGCTCATTAGCATTGATTACATTCTTGTCACTAGGTCAACATCCTCATTCTTTTAATTCAGGTTGTTCCATTTCTAGTCATCTGTTTTCCCTGCTTCCTTACCTTCTCATCTCTACTTCCAAGTAATTGCTGAACTAGTTTATTCTTTATTTAACAAGACTCTCTCTTGGAGAGTTTTCCTCTAGTCTCAACCATTCTAGTAAATCTGATCTTTTAAAGAATTTGTATTCTTATACCATAATTTTTCACCATTCTGTGAAATTGCGTTTTGGAGAGAATAATAGAGGATTATATAATTCCATAATTTGATGAAGAAGAAATTAAGCCATAATTAGTCTTTTGAATGATCATAGACAAAAGTGTCCAAATGCTCTGGTCTTAAGTTAAGCAAAAAGAAAAGAATTATATAGCAAAACCCGGGTGCATGGGGAAAAAGGTAGTTAGAGAATCATAGGTCCAGGGATGCTGATAGCTAGAGAGCAAGGGGGAGCAGCCAGAGGAGAGGCATCCGAGGTATAACCACTACCCAGAGAAATGTGCGTTTGAACCAGGCAGCAGTGGAGAAGGGTGTCACCAAGGCTGTGCTTTAGAAAGATCACTGGCCACCGTGTGGGTTTTTGTGTTGCCTTATTTTTTTTTAAGATACATAGTAATCCCCTTTTAAAGGAACTGCTGGAAGCAAAACAATGGTTGCATTGCTTTAAAAGTTTCACGGTTGAGGTCACAATCGAGACATTGTTCTCTCTCAATTTTGCTTTACAGGCGAATCGAACTTGCCCAATTTGCCGAGCTGATGCTTCCGAAGTGCATCGGGATTCGGAGTGACCAACCGAAGAGCACAAATCTCGTCTGGGTGTTCCTTATCACATGTATATGCGGACTAGCCATTGAGCTTCATCTGTGTGGCTTCCAGCCTTCCCTTTACCAAAAGGGTCAATGGACCTTTCTTTGCACTGTGTGACTTAATCAACTATAAAAGCTTACATTAGTCTTCACAATTATGGGATTATTATACTAACCGTGTGATTGGAACTCCAAAGACTTTCTTTAGCTTAATTTTGTGTGTGCACTAACATTCCCTGGTTTTTGTGTGATCATTCCGAGTGTTGCTGCAAGATTACCGTGGACGTGATCTTTTAGCATGTGCTTTTTTAAAAAGTGGTAGCTCCAGATGATGATAGCAATCTACCTTCTATAGAGCCTTCAGAAACTGTGAGTGGGAATGAATGCAGTGTGTGCCTGTCAGCTGGCGATACATGTCTCCGTGTGCGAGCGAGCGAGCGAGCTAGTGTGTGCAACTACTTGTATGAGGGCATGGTAGTTAATGTGTGTATGAGATCCTATATACCAGCATGTACCAAGAATGTGTGTGTAGTTTTAATTATGCTGCAATGTATAATCTGGTGTGTTATTAAAACAGCACTAGTACTGTACACTGGCGCCCCCCCCCCCCTTGTGTTTGCTGTTGCACACTGATTGCTAAGGGTGCATCCATGATACGCATTGAATCCTCCTTCCCCTCCCTCCCATAGAATGGAACGAGAAAGCCTTCTTCCTTTGCTTAGGCAGCTGTCACCTTCTCTTCCGGGGTGGTCCTACGTGGGGTCACTTAAGAGAAAAGTGTAACAGATTCTCACTCCAGGAACCTGATAGTTTTATTCTGTTATGAAAAAATAATTTTTTAATCTCCAACTTGCTGTTTCCAAAAAAAAGGTGCAATATCATATGTCATCAGTTAGCAATATTAGCATTTCAATCAGTGATTTGAATGTTGATACTTTATTTTTCCTTTACATTTCCAGTAAGATTGTTATAGAAAGTACCTGTGTTTTTTTTTTCCCCCTTCTTAATGTTTAGGTTTGTAGTCTATTTTGAAGATATTTGAGTAATATATTTCTAAGAATACCACTGGCCCCCTGAAGTCTCCCCTCTCGGACTTCTACCAGAACATCTGTTAATTAACTCAGCCTGACTCCTGAAATGTCTTCTTTGTTCAAGCTCCTAGAGTCCACTACATTGATTTTAAGAAAATGGTTTTCTTTTTTTTAATTTATTCTCCTGTCAATTTCCCATTCTGAAATTTGCCTAGCTCTTCCCGCAGTTAATGCGCTTCTTTCTCATCAAGACCCCAAGTCTGGGATGGATCAAGTGTGGTGGCGGCTCATGTTCCTTAGACCCAATTTGATTCCCTTTGACATTTTCTTGGTTTTCCTTTATATTTTTGTTTGAGGAAAATTTAATTACATAGAACAGGTGTCCAGAATACTTGCAGTTTAAATGAAGATTTGATTTTTGTATAAAAAGTAATAATGCTGTGAAACAGGAATTGACCTTCATTTCGTTTATCTGACAACACATACCTGTGGTTTTTGTTTTTTTCAAATAGGTTCATGTAGTCTAAGATTGTTTAAAGTCGTTTTTCTGTTCGTGTATTCCCATGGGCTGTCTCTCCCTGGTGGCACTGCTTTGTTTGCAACAGCACAGCTGTAGAAGTCCAAGCAGGACTGTGACTGCTTGCACTACACTCTCGGTTGGCCCGTGGCAGCCCTCTTCTTCAGACAGTGTTAACTATGTGTTACTGCCGTGCTGCTTGCCCTCCCTGGAAGTCTCTCTAAGCTCATCACAGCCTCCAATTCAGTGAAGTCCATTCACACAGAAGCACAGTTTTGCCCTTTTACACACACTGTTCCTGTCTGGTTCTACAAATGGGGTTTTGCTTACTTTGTGTTTCCCCCAGGCCTGTGAGCACATCAGAAAGACACCATCCCACTGGTAAATTCACATGCGCTTTATAAACCAGTGCACTATCCCCACCTGCCCAGATGAATACAAAGTGTGTCAAAGACCAAATTTATTGGCATCATAATCAGCCACATACAAATCAAGTGTAGTTTTTAATCTTTTTATTATTAAAAAAAAATCATGTTTAAAATGGTAAAGGCCTGTCTTTACATAGACTTTTTATATAGCTTCAAAAACTTTGTATCTGTACAGATCTAACCTACTTACTACACTCAGTATTCATTTTATTGAAGCATGCAAGCAAAGCACTTTCTCTAATTTATATAGAGATACCTGCTTACCAAGGCACATTGTACTAATGACTAGGAAAAGTTGCTTTTCTTCCCTCCAACTGAATTCTTGTCTCTTTTCCAATTTTGAGAGGCTGTTGGCAGTTTAGAAGACAGCAGGGTCTGTTCTGATAAATCCTATGATTATCGCGCTCTTGTGACGGATCTCTCCTTTGCACGGGGCTCTTGGAGATGCAGACTGCCTTAGGAAGTGGTTAGTGTGTGGGGGCACACGGGCCTGTGTTCTGAATCATCTCAGGAGCCGCAGTGGCCATGTGGTGAGCAAGAGGCGGAGCGCAGTTGCTTCTCGCCTGCCTGCCTACCTGCCTGCCTTCCTCTTGGGCAGCGCGTCACGTCTCAGACAGGTGTTGGTTGGTTGCCTTCCTCCTCTTCCTGAAACAAGATTGGCTTCACCATCTCTGCTGTGAGTGGTTTTGTTTTCATTTTTGTGTGTGTGTGTTGTATGTATGAACTGTCAACTTTGATTCCCCAACCCCTCCCACCCCCGACCCCCAAAAGTCAAGGCCTCCCAGGTGTCCGAGATCTCATATTAGGATTTTCTGTCCTGGAAAAAACAAACTTTTTTTTAATCTGGAAAATGTGAACACATATTTAGATTTTATATACTCTGAAAAATATGATTTGTTACGATTCTTAAATTTGGACCTCTTGTAATGTTTTGAATGAGATCTACCAGCTCACTCCTGAGAATGTTTTTCCCAGAGACCCTTAGGCCTTCACCAGGAAGTGGTTCCCTGTGGGCACATTTGGTTACCTCATTTTGCTGTTGGTTTCAGATTATGAAAGCTTACGGGGTGTTTTGGGAATCATTTGCTGAGTCATTCTCTCAATTCATACTCCACTGTACCAGTTAACATGTACTTTTAAATGTACGTACTATAAATATCTGTAACCAAATCATTTGAAGGCTTGATAAATTTTTAACAAAGTTTGTACATTTTTTATGAAAGTTACTAGTAACGCTTTACTAAGTAGTGCAATGAATTTTTATTTTTAATCCCTGTGCCCAATTTTGGAGTTGAGAGGGTTGTTGGTAATAAATGTATGATGTACACTTAAAGCATTGTGTTGTCTTTCGTGGGGCTGTGTGTGCATGTGAGGGGGGAGGATTTTAGTGGGGGGGAGGGTGATTGTGCTACTAGCAGCTTGGGGAATGCAACTTAGAAACATGAAAGCAACCAGCACAAAATACAGTATTTATATTTTTAAAAGGCCAACAAGATGGATGAAAGTGCTATCACATAGAATGTATCCCTAGTAAACAGCGATGCATATATGCAGAGATACCTGGGTTTCTTTGTATCTGCTAACCATAGGATGCACAGGACATGAGATCGCAATAATTGGGCAGGTTGGCCCACATTAGCCATGGCTGACATCAAACTTACTGTCAACGTGGAAGTGGAGTCTCTCTGCCTGTCGTTTTCCATGCACTTCTGACTCAGTGACCCTGTTGGTTTCTGGAACCATAACTATGGGAGCAGAAGGCCTGGCTGTGCTCCTGTGGTTTTAAGCTGCTATGGAGCCCGTTTGTCCCATCATTTGGAAAGTCATACTTTGGTAAGGTGACTAGATTTTCACATTGGTAAAGTGGGACACCATTGATAAAACTCATATCCTGGCGAAATAGCCACATGGCAGCCGAAAACTGCATACCCTAGCTTGTGCATTCTTTCCAAAAATCAGGGCTTTTTAAAAACGCTGCAGGACGCAGGAAAAATTGTTAAAAATTGAGACTGTTCCGCCAAAAGCAGGACGTCTGGTCACCTTACTGGCCTAAGGGAAGGCTAGGTACTTTGTCTGGCTCTCGGGCATTCAGAAAGTCATGTCTTGATTTTCCCTGCCTCGTTTTCCTAGTTAACTTAAACGAGCTCTTGTATTAGCATGTCTGTTGGACTGTTATATCCCAGTAAGTCAAAAGAATTCAAAATGCAGGCAAGACTAAAGGATTAAATATGTAATTACACCTTAGAAGAAAGCAGAAGTCACCTTTTGACCTACCAAACAGTAGTAGTATCTTCATTATAACACCAAAAGCGGTGAACTGGACATCATAAATTTATGTGGTCCTTAAAGGGCCTCAAGAAACCAAAAAAAAAAAAAAAGGGGGGGTGTTTGGCTAGTTCTGTTTTTTTTTTTTTTTTCAATTTTTAAATTTTAAATTGAGTGCAACAGGACTGAAGGTTCCAGAGGGACTTAGGGGGAGAAGGGAGCAGTGATCAGACAATGTCATAAACGGGAACAACCATAGAATTAAAATCAGCGAGGAGAACATAGAGATCCTGGGGGTGTTGGAGCCACAGCAATCTAGCTTGAGAGGAATTCCCTAGGCAGAAGAAGGGCGAGCATGATGGTGGGGAAGGATAAAGGTAAAAAGGAAGCAGGAAAGAGCTAGGCGGCAAAGATAAGAATAGAGGTATAAACAGGTATGTGCTTATGTAAGTATATTCATAAAAATAAAGGTATTGATCGGTGCACATATATTTATATGGCAATACATTGAGGAAGTGAACAGACATTGAGTAAACTGCTCAAGCCCTCCCAGCACCATCACTGAAGACAAAATGGGTGCACAAGGAAATGTGAAGAAAGCTGATGGTGGCTGACTATCAAAAGAAGGCACAGTGTCTGGGGTCTTAATGGCTTGAAGTTAAACAAACAGCCACTTAGCAGAGAAGCAACAAGCCCACATGGAGGAAGCACACCAGCCTGTGTGGTCACGAGGTGTTGATGGGATCAGGTAACAGGGGATCTGGAACAAACGTTGAGAATGACGGGGCTCAGAGCAGAGAGCCCAAAGCCATCTGCAGACAATTTGACAACCCTTCACAGAAAGGTCACAAGGAAGGGATAAGTCAACCAGGGTGCAGTATAGCACCAGTGAAACAGTATTTCTCTGGTTCCTTGAGGCTTCCTCACCCCCCAACCCCCTGCTATCATGACTCCAATCCTACCTTTCACTGTGGGCTAGGCTGGAACGTGTACACTGGTACAGATAAGAGCTCATGGCACAGAATCCATGTAAAACCCTCAGGAACAGAAATGGGGGTAGTTATATCAGGAGAGGAGGGGGAAGGAACCATAGGGGAAGGGGGACTGGTTGGTGTACGATATGAAAATAATTATAATTTATCAAGGGGTCAGGAGGGAGGGAGGTAAGAAGAGCTGATACCAAGGGCTCAAATAGAAAGTAAATGTTTAGAAAATAAGGATGGCAACATGTACAAATATGCTTGATGTAATTGATACATGGATTGTAAGAGCCCCCAATAAAATGTTAAAAAAAAAAAACAAACCACAAAGTTCACAGACTAAGCTGATTTTTCTAAATCATGATGTATGATTAGGAACTTGTATCTAGAAATGTATACAAAATTCCAGTTCAATAAAAAGACAACTAAAATTTAAAATGGGACAAACAACTGCCTAGCTATTGCTCCAAAGAAAATATACAGATGGCTAATGAGTCCCTGAAAAGATGCCACGCTCCCATTAGCCAAGGGCAGCGTGTGAGTCAGAATGTAGAGAGAAGGATTCACACCCACAGAAAAACTTCCCTGATGGTACAGGGGTGGAGTGTAGCTGCTAACTGAAAGGTTGGCAGTTCAAACCTATTAGTTACTTCACAAAAGAAGCCTGTATCTATCTGACTGCTTGTGTAAGGGTTCGCAGCCGGGAAACCCTGTGGGCCTGTTCAGCACAGGCCCTGAGTCAGGACTGAAGTGTTGATGAGGATGTGAGGGAATTCTGCATCGGGCAGCCACCCCTGTGGCAGCTGTTCAGAATGTTAACCAGGAGTTACCATGTGTATTAGTCTAGGTACTTTGGAGAAACAAATCCACAGCAACTCGCGTATAAGAGAGAATTTTATGCAAAGAAAATGTGCATCACGAAAACATCCCAACCCAATGCTGCCCAAGCCCACAAGTCCAACATTAACCCATACCCAACACCAGTCCACAAAGTCCTCCACCTCACAAAACAGAGGCAATAATGCCGACTGCAGGAGGAAAGCTGAGTCAGTGAACGTGTAAGCATCTCAGCACTGGCAGGGGTCTCCACATGGCTGCTCCAGCACCCAGGGCTGCATCGGGATAGATCCATGCGGCTTCTCCTTGGGGATGTCTTGTAGGAAATCCATCTTGCAAGCTGAAGCAGGGAACTGCTAAGGCAGCTGCACCCGATGCAACCATCACAAAACAAGAGACCCGAGAACTAGAAAGGCGAGGCTCACCACCCATTTATCCCTCCGCCTTTCAACCAGCACCACATGTGATTATCGGCCAGGCTGGCACAATTAACTAACTCACCATGTGACCTAGCAATTTACTCCTGGTATGCTCCCCAAAAGTAGAAATGCACAAAATCTTGGCTAGGAATGGTCAGTGTAGCATGCACAAGAGCCGCAAAGTGGAAACGACCCCAGTGCCCAGCTGATGACTGAGTAAACTGACTACGGATGACCATGCCATGGAATATTCGTAAAGAGGGGTGAACTTTTGAGACATGCTAAATGAAAACTCAGTGACAAAGGATCGTGTCAATGATTGCTTTGTGTGAACTGTCCAGAATGGGAAATCTAGAGAGAAATCAGTAGTTCCCGGGCCGGGGGGCGTGGTGGGTGGAGGGGTGGTGGTGGGAGGATCAGGTGGGGTTGGGATTGATGACTAAAAGGTGTTTTTCAGAGGTAATGAAAATGTTCAAAAATTGTGATGATGAATGCACCAAACTTCAGACGTGTGACTTCTCTGGTTTGTGGATTCCATCCCATTGTGCGCACGGTACAGCGGCATACAGCTGCAGCCACACAGATGGCCCATACTGGGTGCTGCCCAGGAGGTGAAGGAGCCAAACTTCACAGGCATTGCTGGTGGGAACCTAAATGGTCACACCCACTCTGGGGAATGATGCCGTCATCTACTCAAGCAGCACACCCAGTAACTCAGTTCCTTGCTTAGTACGTGTACAAAGAAATGCCTAGGGACATGTGGGCTCCAAAGGCATGCACAAGGGTGTTCACAGACTAGTACCCCAAACCAAAGTGACCCAAGTTTGTATCCGCTGTGGAATAGGTAAATATATCATGGGTGTTTCACAATACTGTCCTCAACCACAGGTGGCTCAAATAAAGAGATGCATTGTGTTTTACTAAGGTAAGTGTATTTTTATGGACATACTGTAATCTTTTGAACTTGGTTTTAAAAACGAGTAGGCCCTATTGTCTGTATCCCCAGCTGACAATACAGAAGGGCAAATGAATCCTCATCGTAACTGAGCTTAGCCAGGCACATTGCTGCCCAAGGTGGCGTAGCGTAAAAGCAAACCAAACCCGGAATCAAACACTCCCCATCCCCAAACAACCAGGCTTTGAATGTGCCTTTAAGATGGAGCAGCAGCAGCAGCAATGTTTTCTAGGCCATCCCCACCACGGGGAAAGATAAGTACTTATGCACGACATCTACACTGGGGGGCACCGTTGTCCACAACCAAGTCTCAGCAGTCACAGGCAACAACTGACGTGATTATACTGGGGAAATAGCCAAAATGTGCTTTAATACTGCATTTATTCATCTCAGAGGCTCAACCCTTCCTAAGCATTTGAGCTTGTTCAGATAGAATTAGGCTTTTAAACATTTAAATGGATTTTTAATGTGTAGCTTAACACTTTAGTTTTAAAATGCAATGTTTAAAGGAATTTAACTCCCATGCACCTCTCTCACACACATAGGTACAACTGAGATCAGGGCTGCTTTTTCTAAAAAAACCTGCCCCTACCAAGCAGAGGTTACCAGTAGCTTCCTTAATGCCAAGTGCAGCAAACACGTTCCAGCTCTGTCTCACAGGACTTCCCAGAGTACAGGTCACTGCTCATTTCCTTGGGCTCTTCTACTCCATTCTCTCTGTCTCTCCTAAACCACTTCTCTCATCTCCATTTATTCACCTCAAGCTGCCCCCTTCCAATCGAGCCTCCCTAGGACAAGATCCCATGAATAACAATTGGACGTTAGCTAGCAAGGGTATTAGTAACGCACGCAAGTTAAATTCTGCTGAAGATCATTC